TAATGGAAGTGTGTAAGAGGAAGCTGATTAGAAAAAAGAAATCACCAAACCATCATTGGGGTGATTTGCAGGATTTAGAAAGACTTTCACTTTACAATTAAGGATGAAGTGCTGAAAAAAACATTTATATCTATAATAACCAGACCGCAATCACTTGTAGTCGTCAAAGACCAAGATAAACTGCTTTACTGCTGGTGTTGACTCATCCAACATGAAATGTAACGCAGATTCTTCTTCTTTATGCCTTCAATAATCAAACTTCCTGCTTGTGACAAAGCTGTGGAACAAGATCTTTAAAAGCTGCTATATGTATACATATATATTTAAAAGCTAATGTAAAAATAAAAAAATAAAAAAATAAAAAAATATATATATATGTATATATGTATACTGATTTATGGATCTGTCAGTGTTTTGAGCCCAATAAAAGTTCCTATTTTCGCTAAGTGGCAGATCCACACTCTCTGACGAGACTTGGAATACTGATACATTTGCTTTGGAGAGTGAAGGGTCAAACCCGCACTGGCCATGCAAACAGCTGGGAGCGAGAGACATCCATCTCCTGCGCGTCTTTGATCAGACTCCCAACACAGGGCGGCACAGTGGACCTTTGTTGGCTGTCTCATCATGAAAATGCAGCAGATGTGACCCCAGACCCCTTTTTGGATTTTCAGAACACTGTGAAGATTTGGTCCTCGCTAGATGGTTGTGAGCTGGAAGGCCCCTAACAAAGCCACCACATTGCTCACAGGTTGAGGCCGGTATTTTTGTTCTAACTCACAGACTATTTTTCCAGCAGGATCTTACCTGTTGGTAAATTAGAATTACAGAGCCTGAAAGCCACATCAGCAGACTCTGCCTAATTTACATTTTTTTTCCAATCATACTTGCTTTATACACCCAGAAATGTCTTTAAATGATGTGCTTTTTTGATGGCCTTTAGCTTGGAGCTAAGAGGAAGCCTCAACAGTGCCTGGGGTAAGAGTTACCACTTGTCCACAGGTATTTCCACAAATTAAAACACAAATCTTCAAAAAGGGCAACAAGGGGTCTACTTCAGTGGTTGATAGAACAGAAGAAGTAGGGACTATGAAAGGTTGTAAAGGATTATAACTAAACTAAAAGGAGAAAACACTCAAATCTGATGAGTTGACTTGCAATTTATTTACACACACAAAATACATTAGTCTTATGGCCCCTGAATGGAGGCGGTATGTTTTTTCCCTCTCTCTGCCTATCAACCTGTCAAGTACATTTTAAATGTACACTACTTGTTTTGTTTTTATTATAGTGGTCCAATTGCCATTTTTTAAAATTCTTGTACATTTTCATTTATTTACAGTCTTATACAGTTTCTTTTTTTATTTTGTCAAGCATCCTCGCTTGTGTATTATGCTGAGTTTTGATTCATTTCTAAATTAATTTGTTCTCTCTTCTGTATACTTACCCCTTTTCTTTCAGTTGGTCTCTGCCGGCTCGTTAGGAAACAATGCCTGAATTAACCCAAGGCCCAGAGGCACACTTCTCATCACCTGTGTCAGATCTTCCCTACATTTTTCCTATATCTTAAAGAAATCACTCTAAAATACTTTGCATTTGATATCACATGAAGGCTTTAATGCTTCATTTCTCAAAAATGTCTAAGTCATGGAATCACCCGTTTATGCAGCAGTGCTATTTTATGGCTATCAAACGGTGCCACATTTCATTCTTATGTTTTTTTTTTTTGTTGAGGCACTGATAGAAACAAACAGTGCATCTCTGTTGCAGTAGGAATAAAATGCCTGAGGATGGAGGTTGAATGCGGCATCCAAATTTACAGCTCGAACGCACGCTAATGAAATGTTACAGCAGTTACAATTACTACTTCTATGTTCCGGGGGGCTTTCCCCTTTCAGCACATTAACGCTGTCCGGGTAATTATGGTGATATACTCCAGTGTTAACAGTATGGCTCAGCAAAATCATGTATATGCACACATAAATTGCATTGGGGTGTCACCGTTGTTTGTGATGAGAGCATGGTGGGCCTCTGATGGCTTTAGAGAAATGTGTGTGTACGGAGGCAGCCCACCGCCTCCTAAGTGATTCTAAAAGGAAGCCATCGGCCCCTGTGATTGATGGACTTAATGCGTTCACAACTGAGAGTGGCGCTGTGCCTGATTCATGGCAGAATCTTTGAAGAGGCTGTCTCCATAATGACTGCTGGCAGTGAGTCAGAAATGGTGCTGATGTGATAAGTTGGGAAGGAAAAACTTCACTGTGCGATACGTTGAAACGCAATAATGACGCGAAAGCCACTGCATACTGTAATTATTGTTTACTGTAGACAAAGAACAATACAAAATACAAAACAATGCACCAAGCAGCAAGAGAAAAAACACAGGAAAAAATTACCTTTAAATGGAAACACGCAAAGAATGTCGCCACATGTGTCAATACAAAGGGTAAAATTCCTCACATTCACATCACAATAGCTTGTGTTCAATATGCAAACTGCACAGAACGCTAAATGCCTTGAATCGCATCACAACTGTGTGGTATTCATCCAAAAAGCTAAATAGATTTCAGCGGTAGTGGGAAATGAATAACTGCACAAAAGTGAGGTACTTGTTTTTGTGTTTTGTCACCAGTCCTACTCTAAAGAGTTTCTTTCACACAAACGGTTTGAAATAGCAGCAAACACGCTGATGGGAAAAAAAAGATAGAAAACAATCTTCTTTTTTTTTATTAATTTGCTGCCGCACATTTAGAAACACAATACTGCTTGAAATTCACATAGCACTGCACAATCAAGTTAGAACAACTTTACAATATACACAAAAACAGGTCCCTTTATTTAAATCGTTCTGTACTCATTCCTTTTGAGGGCCCTTCAGCTATACAATTAGATGCAGTTCAAAAAGACAACGGATATTCCTCTTTTAAAAACAGGGTGAGCTGTACACACGCGATAGACTGCACCTACTCAAATATGGCACTTTGTTGTGATCTGTTTACACATTCCATCATTGCCTTTTTACAGTTTTGCTGAGCAGGTAAGTCGGGGGAAAAGTGCTGCCTACTGCAGTCCCGGGCAGTATTGGTAAATTACTGCCACGACAGTGAGCTGACCCATGAGAGAACAGCCTCCGTCTGCACTTCAGAAGTATGGATCGGCCTGCGTATGATACACTGACCTTCTGAGGCTCTGCACAGTGATCGTCTTCACAGTGACTTCGAAGTGCTGCAAAGCTGCGGGGTGCCTGCCACATTAAGCCTAATCTAACGAGTTCCTGCAAAAAATAATTCGCATTCAAGTAATTCTACATCGACACAGCGGGTATAATAGAGTATCTGATGTCTGGCTCTTTCTGTGCTCGGACCGTTTTCAAAGGTCACGCAAATCCACATCCGTCATTCTCCTCTGGTAACAAAATTGAAGTGTCACGCCGATGTGCATTGGGATTAATTTGGATTACACGGTTTCAGGTGGGGATGCACACGAATAAAGCTTCATCGGTAAAACCCTGATACAATAGACCTTGTAACATGATAGACGGGGACAAGAGCACTTTAACATCAGCCACAAAAAGGCATTCACACCTGAACCATGTGGACGTGCTCGATATGTTACATTATAAAACAGTGTCTAAGGACAGTCTTGTGGACAAAGATAGGAATATCAATATCATACAGTTTATTCAAAAGATAAATAACACTGCAGCGACCCTACAAGAAATAAGACAGACAATGACTGAATGAATGAATGAATAAATAACACATATACACACACGCGGGCCAATTTATGTATTTAACATCAATTAAAAGAAGAAAACAGAAAGTGTTTAGCCATGTAAGCTGTTGTTGAGAGGCTGAAGAGAGGTATGTGATACTGACCCAATACTAGTCAGAACATCCTTTCATGCATGTGTAATTCAATTCAGGGTCAGGGGGAGGCTAGTACCTATGCCAGCTGCCACTTGGCGTGAGGCAGGGTACACAGGACAGGTCACTAGTCCGTATCTGGGTCAACAGAGAGAAAAACTAAGCGAGCATACACACTCACATACACACACATTTTTAGACGATGTCAGTGTGCCCACACATGCACAGCGAGATCTATCCAGTACAAAACAAACCTTTTCCCAGTTTAGCATCAAGATCAAAGCAGCAAATGATGTGGACTTTGAATTCTGGCAAGTTATAATGGACACTGCTCAAAACTTCCGATCCTTGAGGAGAGGTTTTATCGCAAAAAGTTCCCAGATGTTACATAATATTCCCGAAACACAAGAACAAACCAGACTGTAATTCCCAGCCCAAAAACCACGACGCTAACTTCTGTGTACTTCGTGTATTTGCTTAGCTCTGCTGTCACGGCAGCTGAGTGACCTAATGTGTTTGGAGAAAAACAAAACGAGGAGTCAGTGATTAACCCCGCCTCTGTGCACCCAACTTGCCGTCTCTAAAGCATCCTTTCACTTCGTCTGCATATGAAATATGGATGCAGACCCTCGTTCGGAAAGGTAACACAGAATGCCCAAGTGGCATCCAACTTCACTAACTCGTAAACATTTCCCCAACAAGTTTAAGAACATTACTGAATAAGGTTGGCGAATTGATGATAAACAGCACCCAACTGCTTTGAGGTTGAAAAAAATAAAAAGATTGTGCTTCGTAGTGATTTAGCTCACGGAAAATAAAGTACCTACAATCCTCTGCCTTATATTGGACTGGTCCTCCCTTAAGGTGCCAAAACTGCTATGATCCATCAGTGTGAACATCTAAATTTGTCCTGAAGAGTCTGCTGCCAGGGTATTAATCATCAAATTGACCACGTGGGTGGTTTGGGTGGGATATGGTAGTGCTGGTACCTTCCTGTTACCTTTTTTTTTGGTGCCCACTGCTGTCCTGCTCAGGCTGCTCCTGTAGTAAAAATGTTGTTGCCATATTAGGCAGGTGGCTACTGTCAAGCTAACCTCTGGATGAATATCATTATGAGAATCTTCAATAAGTGGGTGGTTCCAAAAAAACAATGCAAGGACAATGTGGGCTGTGCAGAGGCAAAAAAAATACTCTAAGTAAAAAACTACAAATAAGTGTACCTGCTAAATGCTAACCTGCTTTTTTGTTGTTTAAGCAGTAGCTGTAAATTGCGCTCCTGTTGTTTGGTGCTGAGGACGCAGTGCAGAGCAGCAGTTGAGCTGTTTCGTTTCTGTCATAAACATCAGCTCGCTGAGGCTGAGAGAGGCGCTTTAAGAGCACAAACAGTAACAATGCAGACCAGACGGCTTTATCGTGAATTCAAATATGGTATAAACGGGATCGGATAAACATCCAGTGTGAGGAAATTCCTCTGCGCACTGACACATTGTTTATTGAAATTTATCAAGCTTTCTCTACTTGGAATGAAGTGCGATAAGGCCGAGAGGCAATCTGCCTGAACCAAAGCAGTCATGCGATTGTAAAATACACTTTGACAAACTGCTCTCATGCATGTTGGTATTTGTTAAGGTCATATTTACATAGAAGTTGTGTTATCATAGTATAGAGGTTAGGTGCTTTACTCTCTGCTTTTATGGTCAATAAACCGACTTACTCTGCAGAGCTTTGAGTCATCGTAGCGTTCGTGTATCGGGACACTATCTTGTTGGCTATTCACAACACTGTCTTTACTCCTTTTGTGCAAAAATATTCAAAGCCTACTGCACAGTTTCTAATCCCATTCTTGAGAATTGACCTAGTCAAAAAATATAGTTACAACAACACAAAAAACCCTTTGGACCAATTAAGCTGTCCAATCTCTGTGTGTAATGAATCAAAACGGGATATTCTTTCTGTTAAAGCATGGGGCTTGCCTAAGGTTAGGCTTCCACTACCATGCCAGACGGAGACGATTCCTCATACTTCATTTTTTTGGCGCTCGTCAGAATGCCGGAGGGCAGGTACCGGTCAGTCTGCGTGCGCAGGTCGTCCATGTCGGTGGTGAAGTGGTCGGGGCTCTCCCCGTTGGACGTCTCCTTGATGACGCTGTAGGTGAGCGCCACGCTGTAGGACGGGGGCTTCTCCAGGCGCTGCGGCCCGCAGTGGCACAGCTTCTTGAACGCCGTGCGGAACTTCTGGGACATGGCGTTGTAGATGACCGGGTTGATGGCGCTGTTCAGGTAGATGCACAATCGGCAGAAGAGCAGGAACCAGGTGTCCAGGTAGGCCTTGTCCAGGAAAGAGTTGACCACCACCAAGGTGCGGTAGGGCATCCAAAGTAAGGCGAAGAGGACCACCACCACAGCCAGCATCTTGGTCACCTGATAAAAGTCAACGATGTGTTAAAATGCCAGAAAGTGAACCACAGAACATGCACAGTCTTTGTCCTGACATATTAGTTCTGTTTAAATCAACAACCCTCACAATATTGCACATTAAATGCAATATTTGTTGGTAAAGTATGTTTTCTATTTAGATCACTTTTGACATAGTTGTGGCAAAAACATGCCAACAGCGAGGGGCGATTTTTGTTGGGTGAAGTTCTGTAAATCCAAATCTCAAAAACCCTTCCTCAAAAGAATTCACGTTATGTGCTAAAATGACCATTTTCTTTATTTCTATTTGCATCTGCAGCAATCAAATGATTAAAAAAACAAGAATCCAAGGCTCAGAGCTACAATGGAGCTGAAATTAAAGAGTGGGTGAACAAAAGTAGACGTACTTTCTCCACATAACAAATTCATGCCGGGCTGCCTCAAATCCTTAAATACACAATGAGGGGAGAGGATGTTCACAGACAAGATTTTTTTTTTTCCTTTTTCTCAACTTGTCTGTATGTCAGCATTTTTCTCACACCACGATCAGTGTCGCACTGCTGTGTGCTGGAAAGCCCTGCAGTGCAAATAATGTCAAAAACCTTTAACACCACAACTGAAACAATCATACTTTAAGACTAATTTTAGTGAAGATTTTGGTCCATTTCTCCAGCAACTCCTTTGTAACATGTACCTTATTGGTGTTCAAATGTCAATGTTCCATGTTGAACTCATGTCTATAAATAGAAAAACAAGTGCTTTGGCTGCTTCCTCTGCTGCAGCATGTGCAAATAATTGCATCCATAACTTGTACAATTAAACCTTTTTTGCCGCTTGAAATGGTGTGAAATTCTTTTCAATTGACAGCTAAAATGTTCCTGTGATCTGAGGCTACGTCTATAAGTACAGACATCCAAGGCTGGCAGTGGAGGTTGCATCACACGTGAGGCATTCAGGGGAAGTGCTATGAATATACGTAATCAATACTGTGGGCAATTATATCCTGGCCATGTAAAACTCACTCTTCAAACATTTCCTCCCGTTTCTTTGGAGATTTGTGTGAAACGGGCAACACAGTTTTCAGCACTGACCAGCATCATTTATGCTGGAAAACAAATTCATGACAAAACAGGGAGGCCTACAAGAACAGACACAATCACCATAATGTACAGTTCAATTTGACATTGATCCTTTTTTATTACTATTATTATTCCTATACAAACTCTATGCATAAACATGAATTACATGCTGTGTACACGTGCTCCTCTTTAGTAGGGGATTTAAAACTTGTTTGCTACAATTTTATTTCTTCCTTAATCTTCTTAATACATTCCTGTTCGTCATTTTTCATTTGGCACGCTGATAGACCTTTCTCAACATGTGTATGGACTAAAGGTTCTACCTAGCTAATTAACTTTGTTTCAGTAAAAGCATAATTAGATTTAGGAATTAAAACTTGGCATGTCACAGACCGTCAAGACTCCTAGCTTCATCCCCCTCCCTGTTTTTGTGGAAAAGCTGTTAATTAATTAGTAATTATAACACATCGTGTGGCCATAATAATGATGACCCTTTAAACTAAGATGGAGTTGTGTTCATTTTGTTTGTTACATCTCCTTTACTTTGAACTGCCTCATAGCATTGTCTCACAGGTGTAATTTGCAGGTAACTGTATGGCGTGATCACATTGATGCCCTAACTATACCTTCAAACATGTTAATAGGAAGTGGATTAAATCCCCCCATTTGCTGAACTGAATTAAAAAGAAAAACTTTTCAAACTAACTTTTTTTTCCAATCCCAAAGACAAATTATATCACTGCAGTACATTAGCTAGCATTATTTCCCGTGACATTTCTTCAGGGTAACCTAAGAAAGTTAATTCTGAGAAAAATCACCGCGAGGGTTTACGTGAGGACAAAATGAAGAAGCGCGCAGCCTGAATGTTTGATGACAACAGTATTAGCACATTTGACTGGAGCTTTAAAAAGCAGTTCTCACAGGCATTACCCAGTCAAAGGCTATACTGGAGAATTCAAATACACATTAAAAACACAATTTCTCTGTTAAATAACCACATTCAAATCTTAATGTAGATACATTATTCAATCATATTGCACCGGCTGCAGTCAGGCGGGTTTAATTTCTTTTATAAAAACGAGTTAGAGATCTCATGCAACATCCTTGTTACTTCTTGACCTTTAGCTTGGTAACAAAGATCTGATGGATTACCACTTGTGTCCACAATCAGCAGCAATGGGTGACTACCAGAAAACAACATGTGGCTGAGTGTCTGTGTGTGCCTTTGACAAACTGATGGAGAAAAGAGCCAAAAGCCTATTTGAGCTGGGGTTAACTGATCTGACAATCCAACAAAGCATGAAGCTGCCTCTGGGGACCCCACCCCCTGCCATTCCAGGGAGGCGTCCTCTCTAATCTGATAAACAAACGTCTCACTGCTCTCTACCTGGTCTGTCTTGGCCTGATTTTAAACAGAGTAAGAGAACTGTTTGCACGCATTTTTTTTCTTTGCTTAAAGAAGATGATGAAACGAGGTTTCACGGTGGTTCGTTTCATGTATGACAGTGCACTCAAAGGGAGTGCCCAGGAATGAAACAGTTGTTGTGGTTTTGATACAGAAAAGAGCACACTGCCTTATCTTTTTTTTTTTAAAGGTTTTGTCACATGTTTTGAACTGCTTCAAATAGCTTCTAGCTGGGGTTTGCACTTCACTAGAACACGTGATGGTGCTGCTGGACTGAGCCCCAGAGCGAGCGTTTCCAGAAAAAAATGTGTAAACAAATAAAAATGTATCATTAAAAAAATATGGCTTCACTTGCAGCTGATTTGAATTCTTTCTGCCCGGGACGTCCCTTTATTTTTCTATTTTTAGAAGCTTGCTGAGTGAGCAGGGCACAGTTAAAAGGCCACCTAGCACCTCGATGACTGAAAGGGGTGTCGCTTCAGTGGAGCTGTATGAGTTAAATTGCTCATTACTAAGTTATTGTTGTAAAGCTGTTATTTGCTCGGTAAAATAACATTTTGATACAAAAGAAGTACATATTCTCAATGGAATGAAATCCTGTAATGAAAACAGGTTTGGTGCACTGCAATTGAAGCAGTGGAGCTGTTACTAAATGTGTTGGCTGACATTTTTTCTGATGGAATCTTGAAAAAAAATTAAGGATCTTAAAGGATTTATGTTCTGCTCGGACTTAAGCTCCCATCCAGCCAGGACCATTTTTTAATATTCAGACAGAACATTTGTTTCATCTCAACACAAATTTTCCCTCCCTCATCACACCACACATTTGGATGTTTATATCAAATACACAGAAGTGTGCAAAGTCTTGTGTTATGGCTCTTTTTCTTTGTATAATGCTTCCAAGGAGCCTGACTTTTTGCAGTCTTCAAATGTGGTTGTGAACAATGGCTGTGCAGGCTTTCTGAAGGTGTTTTAAAGGTACATCCTTATTCATTTTCAGGTGACTTAATGTGGTTTTGAAAGACAACTTAGCACCAACCAATTTGAAACTGACTTTCGTGAAACTTTGTTACTAGCACCTTGTTACAAATACATGTTTTGTCCCCATGTCTTTTGTTGCATCTACAAAATAAAACAGTTTGAAAACTGTTTTATTATGTGCCAATTGACTCAATAAGAGACAGTAGTGTGAAAACTTGACAAATTTGGGCATGGTGTAGTGTGCTTTTCAACATTTCAGGAAACTTGGACAAGTTAAGGAAAAAATAATACATGGAATGACGAAAGCAATGTTTTTTTAGGAAAATGAAAGAAAATCTATCTGACCTAAAACAGGACTGTTCACTACAAGGCTGAGGTATAGGCCACCTGAAAGTAACAGTTCCTATGGATGGACGAAAGCTCCCCAGACTTTAGTATCACTGAAGCACAGATCATCTTGGCAGAGCCAGAACAAAAGGTAACCAATATGCAAAGAACAGCAGATGTCCTTAAAGGAACCTGGAAAACTTTAGGAATTTATTTGATTATAAGAAAGCTTGTGAAGGCTGTGTCATAGAGGAGGTCATACCTACTTTCAAGCGCATTGAAATGATACTAACCCCTTGTCATACACACAATTTATTTTCATTCGTTGACATGTTTTGTCAAATAGCTGAGCTCCTATCTCCCTTTGCTCTTTAACATAAAAACTGAGTGAACGGCTCAGGACTTTGAGTCAAGTAAAACCCTCCAAAATCCCAACGAAGTTATGGATTTTTGTTCAATGTGTCATCCTGAGCTCACAATGTCTCACATTGTTGCTCGAGAGGCTTTCCAATCAACTAAATTGATAAATAAAAGGTCATTTTAAGAAAAGAATCCAAATTATTAGGGTAAATAAGCTGTGTATAGCTGTGTATAGCTATGTATTATAGATTTTTTTTCAATAACATTTTCGTTAAGTTAAAAGTCCCTTGTATGTGATTGATTTTTTTTTCCATTGACAGATTTATCTTATTATTAAAGTTAGGGTTATTATATCCAGTATTAGATCTGATAAGTTACCTCAAAAGTTGTTTTTCTATGGGCACAAACAGAATTCTTTCGGTGACCTGTGCTACAAACAGACCCAGGCCCCCCATCATTACGCACGACGCGCGTAAAGAAGCAAACATGGGCCCACCTGTCTGCGGGAGGCAGCCGTGGTGCTGCTGGAGGAGCTGGTGCTGATCATCCTCCCTCCCTGACTCGCCTCCCTCTTCCACTTCTTGCTGCCGCCTTTGGGGTCCGAGGGCAGGGGGTTGAGGAAAAGGATCCTGGCGATCAGTCCGTACAGGATGGTGGCCAGCATGAGCGGCAGCACGTAAAACACCGTGAAATCCGTGAAGTAAATGGGCAGGTAGTGGCTCCTAGACACTTTGTAGGCGCAGGTGAGCAGCGCCACGTTGTCGTACGCCAACTTTTTGGTGTCGGACAGAAAGAGCCACATGACGCAGTAGACGGAGGTGAGCGCCCACACCAGCATGATGATCTTCTTGGCCCTGGATAAGGTGCACAGGAACTGCGCTTTGATGGGGTGGCAGATGGCGATGTAGCGCTCCACCGTGAAGGCGGTGATGGAGCAGGAGGACGCGTTTATCCCCAGGTACTGGAAATAGGTGATGCCCAGGCAGCCCGCGTAGCCGTACACCCACTGTCCGCACAGGGCGTCCGTGATGTTGGGCAGCCCCGCGGCCGTCAGGACCATCAGGTCAGCCACCGCCAGGCTGACCAGGTAACAGTTCGTAGGGGTCCGCATGTGTTTGGTGGTCAGGACCACCAGGATGACCATCACGTTGCCCACGATGCCCAACCCGCAAATGAGCGACACCAGACACACGCTGACCACCTTGTATTCAACGGAGTGGTCAGTCCACACACCCAGGGTCTGGTTGTCGTACCCCGAGGTGTCATTTTCCACAGTCATGTTATCCGCGGTGATGTTTTCCATACCGGAGACCGGACACCTGTGCACTTTTCACAAAATTACACCGCGCAAAAGAAAGAAGAAAAAAAGAATTACAGCAAACATCTACAGGATGGAGGCATGAAAAGTCCAAACAAATACCCCTCTACAACCCATCAAAACGCTTGATTTCATCCCTGCAAAATCCAACCAAACTGCCATTTTTTTTCTTCCGTCAAGTGTGTTTTTTGGATATCAATCAAAGTAAACTCCAATGTTCGCTCCATGCGAGCATTAAAAAAAAAATTACAAAAAATTGGCAGATAAAGTTTTCCGACGCAGGAGAGCAGATGATGCGTTGCAGGCAGCTCCGCGCCCTCTCGTTCCACTGGCCAAATGCTGATGACTGAGAGCTTCTCGCAGAGCCTCTCAGCTCCCGGGAGCCTGGCTGTGAAGTCACGGGCTGACGCACTGGAACCGATAACTTCCTCCTCTCATACCAGGGACAAACATGCAGGATATACTTCAAACCAATATGGTGCGTTCAAGCTTGAAGGAACCGTGTGGGAGCGTGTGTGTTTTATTTCTCTTTCCATGCTGATAGGAGCACATTAAGAAGAAATAGCTTCTTTAGTTTATCACTTGTAAATGAAACTTAGTTAATGTATCATTTTTTGATAGAAACAATTTCCTTGATTTTGGTTAACTACTAGTGTTTTTTCTACTTATAATATGACATCAACCATAATTTAATTAGCCTTTTGCTGAAACTCCAAAATGACTGATTGTATCTGAACTGTTTTAATGTTACTTATACAGGAAAAAGCAGTTTCATGCAGTCTTATGGACTATAACTTAGTACCCAAGGTTCTAATCTCCATGATTTTAAGTATTTTCTTAAACATATTTCCCTTCTTTTTCTCTTGGCTTTGAAGCAAAGAACCTTACAAATGTGGTAATCTTGAACAATGATACTTTTTGATATGTGCAATTTACCACATGTGTTTAGAATGTTCGATGTTCAGCCAATTCCAAAATGTAAAACATTTGAGAAAACCCTCTTATTTGCAGATTCCCAGTCACCTCAGTCAAGGTAATCCTTGGATTTTAAGTAAAAAGTCACCTCTCATTCCAGACTTTTTCACTCCTGAGTGACTTGTAATGAGTCCCAGGTATTTAATGTCTTGTGGGGCCATTAGCACCTTCACAGTGGCTGAGGTCACATGTTTGTCTGTGACCCACCCAGCCACCATGCGGGTCGCTGGGGCCATTGAGGTCACATGTGGGTTGTTTACCCACCCAGCCATCATGTGACACGTTACAGTCACATGAATCAAGGTGCGACTGGAGGTGCAAAAGCCTGGGAACGGACGTTGTTGGATGAATGTTGGTCTCCACACAAAGCTTGGTTAAGACTTGTTTCAGTTTATCTTAACTGCCCTTTGTCTACCTTTTCTTACTATGTGAACCCGTTAGATGGATGTGTAACTGTTTGCAGTGTTGGTTTTCCCTCAGATGTGGGCGGACTGCTGAGTCGACAGCAGATTCTCCTGTGCCGAGCCATGTTTAATCCCAAATTTAAATAGGTTCACAGGTCATTTGATCGCTTTGTAGCTGCTTCACTTTGCAGTTTGTTTGCTTTGCAATTTCCATTGCAGAAATAAACACATAGCATCGTAATCTTCTAATCAGGTCCAGTCAGCTTCTTCTTTGTTGTAACCTCTACAGTTAATATGTTAATATGTTTTGTTTGATATTGTGGTGAATGTAAAATGTTAAATCCTAGTTGATGCTGCTTTTAACATGATTATTTTTGCTCTTCTATCTTGGTCAATCAGTACCTTGTTCTCTGGGATATGAGCATTTGAATGTCACAAGAGTAGAAGAACATAAAAGGAACTTCAATAAGACAGAAGGGTTCTCAGCCTGAAGTTTATAATACAAAGTCCCCAGCAGATTCCCCCACTATTGTCTTTTGATACCTATTTCTTTTCCACCGTTTATTGCCACCTCCCACATTTTCACCTGACAGCTTCCTTCCACCAAAATAAGGTGAGATTTTTAAGGAAATTGTGAAATGTCTCATGTTGAAATATTTTCTATGTTCAGTTGTAACTAAAATATTGGTTTTGCGGGATAATAAAAGAAAAAACAGTGCATCCGGTCTTTAATTATCCTTTAAAGTGTTGCATCAATTTTCCAAAATGTGTTTTTTTTTGTAGATGAAACTATTCCAGGTCTGTTTAGATGACAGAAAGCGTGACAACAGCGAAAATGTAAATAGAAATAGTAATGTGAGAACCGTTCCCAGCTAGCATCTGACACCCTGCTACAAAGTGTTTTACGTTGTCAGGACATCTGAACAAACTTACCTGAGGTCTTGTTTGACGTGGTCAACCCATGCCTCAATAAATATTTTTGGACCGTTATGACCTTAAAGTGATTCTCGAGGTTGTGTGATTGTAAGTGATGCTGGGAGTAACAAGACTAGCTCTAGATCTTTTCATAGGGTCCGTTGACAATGAAAAGACAGCGTGACAGGATACATTACTTCTTTATCAAAAGACGCACTTCAGGAAAAGGTCAGTAAAACAGACAGGCATCACCAGGCAAGAGCATCCACAGAAGCCGACTCTGGCCCCGCCCACTCGACACATCTGACCAATAAACCCCCTGTTCTCAGAGCCCCCGCTAAGAGAAGGTTCTTCCCAAAAGACGTGTCGAAAACAAGCAGGAGGAACTCCAAATCCAGGGCTTTGAGAACAAAAGGACGTCCTTTTTGCTGTCACGGCTGTACAAATTTCTAGCTTCTTGCTGTGTATTCAAAAGCCTTTAGCTAGTGTCTCTGGTCTGTTCTCTTCACCGTGTTCTATTTAGGCCAAGGATAATCTGGTAGTCAGACAGCACCCCGGGTCATAGTTAAAAGGTGCACTCTGTTTCTCAGGCTAAAATGGTGTCAAATAGTTTTTTGATAGATCCATACCTTTTTTTTTTGAGCGAGTGTTTGAGTGAGAGTAACTGCGCGTGAATTAATGCGTGCATTTTCATCCATGTAAAGATAGTAAAAATAGTTGTTTGTTGAAAATTGTTAACATTTTGTGTATGGTAACAAACTGTACCATACACACATCTCATCTCAGTTGTGCTTAAAATGTATTAAAATTTCAACATTTAGAAACTCTGATTGCAATTGATTTTTCGAGAAACAATTTTACTGTCACTGTCTGTGAACCCAACCCCCCCCCGCTCACCCCAAGGATAAAAGTCTCGCTTGGCCACTGGTTCCTAGTATCCTTACAGAGCCCTTGGAACTGTTTGGCCTGAATTAGCATTTGGATGCTGTCTCTTAGAGTTTATATTCGTGCTGTCATGATCAGAGCTGTCCGTCAGACTGGCGTTTTCTAGTCACTGGTGGGATTTCATAATACCATCTCTTTTTCAGTCTAAATCTCACATGCTGTTCTGTTCTGTTCATGATCATATTCATATTCATATTCTGTCCATATTGTTCACCTGACACGTGAAAGGTGAGAAGCACGCACTCTCATTCAGCAAAGTGATCTGGAAGATTCCTGTTTAAGAAATTGAAAACCCTTGGAAAACCAAACAGACACAAAAGAAAATCAAAGTCCCTCAAATGTTTGGAACACTGATGATTGAAAAAATACTTATGCATGCAATTATTTAGCAGGGGTCTTTTTCTGCATGGAGTTTCCTTGTATTTCCCCCCACTTGCATGGTTTCTACTACAGCTGGAATATGCATGTCGGGAACATTTAGATCCTAAAATGGCCATGGGGAGTGTGAGCGTCAGCACGTATAGCCCTGTGAGGGACGTGTGTTTGGGTGTACACTCTGCTATACCCAATGGCAGCCACAATAGGCTCTAGCTTTTTTTTTTTGCATAATATTCATCAGCTAGTGGGACCACAGGCAGCTGTTACGGATTTGACATGAGAACATGAGACCAGTATCCGTAGTAAACTGATGGCTATTCGTAGGATTCATCATGTATATCTTAAAGACCTGCAGAAATATAAAAGTGATAAAAAAGGCAGAATAACATAGACTAGGATAATTTCTGCCAAAATAAATAGAGAAATGTAGACAAACAAAAGGAGCAGGAGCTACAACTGTATTAAAAAGAGACAAATAGATTAAAGAGAAATGACCTGCATCTCTGTTTGACAATTATTTGCTTCTGCACAAAGAGGCTGAGCTTCTTTTTTGCATTATGTCTTTTCTCATTGCACATCCACACGGGCCCTAATGCCACATAAAGAATAAGATGAATTATCCGGTGTTGATATTATTCCATTATTTTGTGATTTAAAAAGAGACGAGCGAGGACTCAAGAGATCGCATGTGTGGATTTCATGGTGTTAAAGGTCGGAAAAAGTGTCCCGCTGTTCACACTCTTCCCCACATGCAGAAATCCACCACAGAACACAGAAATGACACATACAGACTCACGATCCGACTGGCGATGATTAGCACAGCATCCTGCCCCCCCTCTCTCTGATGTGTTATGGTAAAAGATGGATAAATCGGCTGAGGTTCTAAGGAGTTGTTTAAAATCAGTCCACACTTGTGTGACTGTTTCTCTTGAGTGAAAAGGAATGGGCGTCTATGCGTAAAGGATGGTAGAAGATGAAAAACTACTAATATTTCAGCTCACTAAGCATTGCAGCTCTTTGTTACCGCGAACAAAGACTAAAGAGGGCTCAGCAGTCTGCAGGAAAATAGTTAGGAAAGAAGCCCGGCTCTGCTTTTTTTCTGCCGCGATTCAGAGCATGGGCAGATTATCCACGGACTATACGGATGAAACAGAAGATTACCTGAATAGTAATGACATCAGTGACTGTCGGTGTTTTAGAATGGAGCGATGGATTATCACGGTTTTAAGTCTCCTTAGTGCCATCATCATCGGCAGGTTAAATATTTTAAGGATTCCATGGAAAAGCCTCACCAGTGTCCATACAAATCAGCATGTGGTGCTCATTCATTGTCACATCTGTATCGATCCACTCTGTGCCATTACGCCACATCACAGCGGGCGCTGAGTTGTGGAGGGGAGACCGTGACAGATTGTCAGTTCTGACAGCCAGTAGGTCAATGGGGATCATCACACAATTCACTGGTGGGAGAGGAATTTTGTAATTGCTTCTCCAAAGAACACATCTGCCGCAGGTGTCCGACA